TATGACGCCGGTTGGCCTCCTTGGGCACCACTATTCATGTGCACACCAATAGGATTAACAGTAAAATAAGTCTAAAAATCTATTTCAAAAAGAAAATACACTTTAATTTTCATTAAATAAATAAGGAGATCGATGAGCGTGCCTGAGTTGACTTTACATACGCATGTTTCATATCAAGCCTAGTACACATGCCCTACCAGGATGGGATTTACATAGGAAAGTGCTGGGGGAACAGGCTTTCGTGAGCCATTTGGAAGCTCTCTGGTTGAAGCAGATTGCAAGGAGCCTGCAGTGGAGAACAACTGACTCCCTTTCAGCCTAAAGCAATGTCCAGCGACTGGAAAGTTGAAACATTAGACCAAATTATACTACTTAGGTTAAAATAAGTGCCCCTAGAAATAGAGCACCATAAACATTATATGAGAAGTGGTATCCCTAAGTCTGGAATTTCCCCCACTTCTGGATCTTATTAACCAGTGTTGAAGTCTTTATTAATACTACTGTCCCTGTCTATTTACTTTTACTAGTTGGTACACAGATTATTGGCACACCCTTGAACCCATTCTCTTCTGTGCTTGCTTCATTTAGCAACATCCTTTATAGCTACCGATAGAAGAAAAAAACACTCTAAAAACAATGGCTGCATTTTTTATATCAAGCAGTTTGGCATAGAATTGACAATATGCCTTAAGCAAAACTAAATTAACAAACAGCAAGCAAACTGCCCTCCACTCACTTTTTTTGACCCACATCGCGAAACAGTCCATGTACCACAGAATGCATCTTATGGATAATAGTTCTAAATGAATTTTAATGTGTTTATCCGGCAGGATCTAGGCAGTCTTACTGCAGGTTATAGTAGCTATCTTAACAGCCTAGAAATAGGCACCGTTCCACTTAAGAAAAGAAAGGCTTAGCAATGAAAGACTTGCCCAAAGCCATTTAACTAGCAAGTGGCTGAGCAAGTAAGCCACGTCCTGCCTTCTGTGTTTTCCTTTTCCTTCCCCCCCCAGACACAGTTTCATATATCTCAAGCTGGCCTAAAACTTGCACTTACTATGTATACCACACCCAGTCTATGTCATGCTGGGGAGCAAACCCAGAGATTCATGCATGCAGCATGAAAACCTTATCAACTGAGCTACATTCTTATCCCTGGCCACGATCTTTTCACATTCTAACTCCAGAGCCCTTTTAGGCAAATATGAATATGTTCAAGAATATGAAGAATGAAAGACAATATTACAGAGTCAGTCTGATGACTCAGTAAGCAAAGTCTTGCACTCCAGGCGTGATGATCTGAGGTCCATCCCCAGAACCCACACTGCAGAAGGACAGAACTCATTCCCACAAGTTGTCCTTTGATTTTTTTTTGCATGCATGTCTTACCCCACTCCAATAAATAAACCTAAACTACTAATTATTTTATAAAATGGACTTTTAAAAGAGACATTGTTAGGTTAATACTCTAAATTTAGAATTTAAACTGTTAGTTAAGGCGTAGCCTACAAGGCTGAGAATGTCGACTGAGCTTATAAACCTGCTTCCCTCCTGCCTCTCCTAAGCATTCTCCTTAACTGTCAGTATGCACTCAGTGTTCTACCTACATCACCAATGACCAGCACATCTTCGGGTCTTAGTAGATGCTATTATCTTTATTTTGTGGTCAAAGAGCAGTGAGATGGCTCAGTCGAAAAAGGTGTTTGCCATGCAAACTTGGGAACTTAAATTTGGTCCTTGAACGCACATAAAGGAATAAGAAAAGAACCAATTTTGATCCCCCATATGAATGGAATATGCACACACACATCACACAAATAATAATAATAGTAGTAGTAGTAGTAGTAGTAGTAGTAGTAGTAGTAGTAGTAGCTGGTAGCTGGACATAGTAGTGCATGCCTGTAATCCTAGCACGTAGGAACTGGAGGCAGAGGATTCAGGAGTCAAGGTTATCCTCAGCTCCATGACAGTTCAAGGCAAGCTTGAATAACACAAGACCCTATCCTCCCACCCCTCCCCCAGAAAATGAAAGGAAAAGATGGATAAAGGAAAAAATAAACAAAAATAAAGCTAAACTAAATAAATGTCCAAATGTGGTTGCTCTGGCATAAAAGCAAAGCAAACAGAGAGTAATGCTGGTTGCAGAGTGGAGCCTTTGGTCAAAATGACCAGTGTGTGCAACTGGCTTTGAAAAACCAGCTGTCTGAACCCAGATCACTCATTTCTCTGTGCTTCCAAATGCTCCTCCCTGAAACGGGATGCACTCAGAAACTCATAAAATGTGAAGTAAATTAAACAGTGCATAGTCCCAGGGTTTCTGAATGAGCGGTGAATGTAGCTACTGTTATTCACTTGCACTCTGGGCTGCATCTGAGGGTCTCCTGTCTTTATATCTGCCCCTCCCTAGGTGACCTCATTCAATCCCATGACTTTAAAAATACTCCAGACTAACGACTCTAAAATCTATGTTTCCTTCCAAACAGATCTCTCGGAATGCGAGCCAGCTCATGTCACTTCTCTACTAAGAATCACTGCGGAGGCTTCCCGACTCTCTCACCGAGGAAACCAGAGCCCCGCTGAAAGCCCCCCGAGGCTTTAGGCGCCCTGTCCTACTTTGCTGGTCATTCCCCACCCTTTCCACGGTTTTCCTTTCTCAGCCACACTGCTGCTGTGTGCTGAGCACCCCTAAACACTCTCACTCCCCATCCCCTTTCTACTTCCCGTTCTGCATTGTATGTGCATCCCCAAAGGCTCATGCAACATGGCCTTTTGTGTGATTGAAGTTCCTGCTCCAGTACTATCTCATCAAAGAGCCTGTCTATCCTCGGCCCCTCTGAGAGAAGACTCTTTCCTTTTCTGTTCCTTCCCCTCGCTTTACGTTCCTATATGATCTGGTTACTAATGCATCTATTCATTTTCTAATGGTCTGTTGTTTTTTTGCCAAGAGTGTGAACTGAATTAAAGCAGGAACTTCATTTTGTTCATAACCCCTAAATCAGTGCTTGGTATACGGCAGGCATTCAATAAATATTTATTGCTTAACTATATAATTATGTTAATTGCCCAGTTTATGAAATCTCTTGCTCTTTCTGCCCCACTAATTTGCATCTTATGCTAGAAAAGTTACAAATTTCTTTGTGAATTATATTAGTTCTTAAGACTCTTCTATTGAACTTGGGGCGGGTAATATGGTTTGTCAGGCACTTGTCACCAAAGCTAATGGCCTGAGTTCCAAGACCCACACTGAGGGAGGGAAGAGAGAATCTATTACTATAGGTTGTCCTCTGAGCTCTATAGTAGTGCTGTAACACATGTGTGCGTATACACATGTGCATATGTACAAAGTAATAAACTGGAAAATTTCTTCATAGCTGAGGTTGATCTACTATTCAGCAGAAATTAAGAAATCTTTATTTCTTATTTAAGGGCTAGAGAGATGGCTGAGCAGGCAGAGGTACTTATTACAGAGTCTCATGGCCTGGGTTCAACACCTGGAGCCCACACATGGAAGGAGAGAGCAGACTCTTGCAATGAATTGTTAGAAACTCGAAGCCTGGGAAAGCAACACTTTTGCTTCTGAATCACTAAGCTAATTATTGGTTCTATATTGCATCCAAACAACACATTTGACCATCCTTCAAACCTTTCCTTCCCCCCTATTTTAAGGCATATTCCCAAACTTCTCTATATCCATCTACAAAGATTAAAAACCACAAAATCTACCCTATCTTTCCCGCCACTGCCTAGCCTCATCCCTTGCCAGCCCCCTAAGTCCCAGGCCAGTACCATCTGTCTGTGGCTGCCAGCCTCCTCTCACATTCCCAGCTTCCCATTTGCTTTCCTCCCAACAGCCAGAAATCTCATAAAAATGTCAATCATCCAACACTCTTCTGCCTAAAGGTTTTCAAGGCTTCTTTCTGTTATTCCGCTACAAGTTAGTGATTCAGAAAAACTCCTGACCCATTATCCCACCCCCGTGTGATGACCGGCACCCATTTCTCTACTCGTTTCCAGCCTGCTCAGGACTTCTGGTTCCATGGGCTTCCTTTCAGGTTCATGAGCGCAGGAAGCCCTATCCTGTCCCTAAATATCCATACTAGCAACTCCTTGGGCACATGGGCCCACCTTAAATGCCATATACCCAGAGAGGCTTTCTCAGACCACCCCTGTGTCCAATCTGTTCTGTCAGAGAATGAGTTAATTCATTTATTATGTTTTGCACAATTGTACCTATTATTTTTCTTTCTGGTTATTATCAACCTCCCTCCAGTAGAACATAAACTTAACGAAGAGGTATTATTATCAGAGGGGTTCATAACAGCATCTATTAGAGGGTGAACACTCCAGGAATAAGGATGGACTCTTAACCGTCTCAGTTTGGATAAAGTGATGACCGAACATGAGTTTCCTAAGACCTAGTCTTGGTGATTTCCTCATTCATATTTGCTCAAATCCGTCATTGCTTCAATCCACACAAAGAACCAGCATGAACAGAAGGGCTCTCAACCCTCACTATTTCTTAGTAGCCACGGGTCAAGACCTGGACTCCTTTCAATAGTTTAGAATCACCGAGTAAGGGAGAAAAACGTCCGAAATGAAGACTATTGAAAAGAACAACTGCTGTGAGAAAGAAAGTTCCTAAGTTCAGACATTTTTGGAGTTAGATATGGTAGGGAATGTAGACAGGGAGAGAAAAGGAGTGAGATAGGATAACAAAATCTGAAGGAGGCAGGACATAGCCCACACACCATGCTGTGAGCATGCGAGGCTCTGGGTTTGCTACCACTTCTTGCCATGTAGATAAACTAAGATGGGGTGATGCAGTGAAGTGGGATGAGGGGGATAGAAATGATAGGGTCAGGCACTAGGACCAGTGACGCGAAAGAAGCTAGAGAGGAAGTGGGACTGAGTACTGAGAGGAGAGCAATACAAAAGCAGCTTCGGATCTCGCCGGAGTTGCAAGCGTTAAAGGGAGGCGGGGAGTGACGCGGTTTGCGTCTAGAGCGGCTCCTTGGAGTCCACAGCATCCACCGCCGGAGCCTCGCCTTCCTTTCTCCGTCTGCAGACATATCGAGACACAAAAAGAGGCAACCTCCAGACCAGTGCGAGGGACCCACTCCCATCATGACCGAGACCACAAAGACCCACGTTATCCTGCTGGCCTGCGGCAGCTTCAATCCCATCACTAAAGGGCACATTCAGATGTTCGGTGAGTCCTCCCGCCCACCCCGGAGGCTGCTTCCGCTGCTCTACTCTCGCCAATATCAGGATTTTCCAGGGCGACTGGGCAGGAAGGCTTGCGCCCCTCCGGAGGGGTGCGCCTGCTGATCTGTCTGGTGCCTGGTCAGCCCCTGCGATCACAGCTAGCGAGAGCCGACGCAGGCTGCGTTTTTCCAGGCTTCTCTAGCTTGGGGCCAGATCGCCTCGCCGAGGGCCAGGGGTGGGGGAGGTGCGGGGCTCGGGGTGGGGGGTGAATGTCCTCTGGGGTGGGGTGGGGGCTCCGAGTTATAGCCCTGGAGCGCGACGGTGCGGAGATTTGACTACTTTGCGGGCGAGGGTAGGGATGGGGGCAGTGGTTGGGGTGCGAAGGAGGAGAGGGTTGGAGATAACGTGCTGTTTGTTTAGGATAGACAGAAATCTTGAAGGAGTTAAATGTGCCTCGGAGACACAAACACTCGCACACGACACACCAGTGACAGGGACTGGGGTTTGGCCGGCGATTCCTGGAGGCACAGGGACAAATGTTTGGGGGTTGTGGTTGCGTGTGGCCCGGAGCGGTGAATCCTGACTGATGGCGAGGGGTACCCCTTGACCAGCCCAGGTTTGGCCCTGGCTGCCTAGGAAGGAGAGGGGGCGGGGCGGCTGTTGCGGGAGGTGGTCCATGAGCTGGCGAGATGGATCCGGGTCCAAGTTGGCCAACGTTCTGTCCAGGGCGGCGATGGTACTCGGCAGCCTTGTAGCTTGATTGTGAGGATGGATGTGTAGAAGTGCGCGAGAGTGGGGTAGGGACGCGTCTTCACGAGTTTGTTTTCGAGGTTTGGGGTGTACAGCGAGAGGGATGGAGCCCCAGCGTCTGGGTGCGTGTGTAACGTCCAGCAGATGATTGTCCACGCAGTATGGAGATTTCTCGCCACCGGTACGAAAGCCACGCGGCTCGGAAGCTGCTCGCAGGGTGTGTGCGCGTTTAGAGCCCTGAGAGAAGAACGCGGGGGTCACTTTAAAAGCAGGAATTGAGAAGTTAGAAGTTGGGGGTGCTTTTTCCTAGGACTCGGGGAAAGTACGCCGGAGGTGGGAGAAGGAACGGGTGAGAGGCCCTGACCCAGCCCTGCGGTGAGGCGCTCTCCACAGGCGGCGGTGCTGAAACACAGCGCACTGCCACTGGCTGCAGGCACACGTGTTTGCCCAGGGCTGGAGGACTGCCAGAGCTTTCCTAGGCTGTTTAATGAAAGCCACAACGTAACCATAAGGACGACCCCAAACGCTCAAGCTAAAAATACCCGTCTCTAAACCTAAAAGATGAATCTTCACTTGGCCCGACGATTAAAAATTAAAAATACTCATGACAAGGTTACAAAACTACCCTGCATAGGGTATATCCAGCAGCCACCTTACAGACCTGGAAGAGGGCGTCTAATTAGTAACCATCCCTTCCGCATTGTTCTGTAAGCTTTTAAAAGTGTTTATTCAGAGATGGCGCCAACTTGCTTGTTAAACTGAGGGCCACGGGGTGGGCCACCTTCTCAGTCTTCTGAAGTAGCAAAACCCAGGCATTCCCCACTTTTTACTTTCCTGTGAGTCCAGCGTCTTTTCTCTTGTATTATTCGTCCTCGTCCACTTTTCCTTTGGCAGTCTTGTGTTGATACTGTTTCCCTCTCCCTTGGCCAGGAAGGATTGCGCTTCCTTGGAAGCTCCTTAGCTCTAGGAATCTTTAGTGGGCCGGTGGGTGCTCCTCCTTTCTTTGAACCAAGGATGTGGGAAATCCCATTTGCTGTAGGATCAGAAGTGGGTCAGATGTTGATTGAGTGCAAGAACACTGTCTTGCAGCTGGAGATATTGGTAGCAGTGAGAAGGGGGAGCAGGGATGCTAACCTGCCAATTCTCCAGGAGCTTTGGGGATAGACTGTGAAAGCAGGCATGGGTTGTAGCAGAAGGTTTTACATTTAGAATAAGTGAAAGGAGACTTTTGACCATGGCCGTTATTCACTTCCCGTTGGCGTAGGGCCAATCAAGAAGATCTGTCAGCAAAGCCTCCTGAGGATCCATTTAGTGTAACCTAGAGAGCAATAGGTCTAGGGATCTTTCTACTAATGGAGGCTCTTCTAGAAGTACATAAACATGTGACAAGGAAGCAAGGAGAGGAAGATAAACTAGATGTTGTGGACTCTCTTACTGATATCTTTGATACACATTTTGATATACATTTGGTATCTTATTTTCTTCTTCTTAGGTGTGTGTGTTCATGCATGTGCCGCAACGTTCATAGGGGGTCACAGGACAATTTCTGAGAGTTACTGTTCTTCTACTGTGTGTACTGGGCATTGAACTCAGGTTGTCAGCTTTGGTGGCAAACACCTTTGCCTTCTGAGCCATCTTAACAGCCCTGTAAACCATGATTTTGTTTCTCTTCTTTAGCTATTGGAGACCCTGTCTCAACTGTATCACCCTGCATGGCCTAGCATCTACTATGTAGATCTGGTCAGTCTGGAACTCGCAGAGTCCTACCTGCCTCTGCCTTTTGAGTACCGGGATTATAAGCCTGAACTGATTTTATCTCATTTTATATTTCTTGATAGTGGGTCTCACTCTTAGCCCAAGCTGGTTTCATAGTTATAGTAATTCTCCTGCCTCAGTCTTGCAAGTGTTGGAAAGGGCATGAACCACCATGCTTGGCTTTATAAATTACTTTTGCCTGAGCAGTGGTGGCACAAGCCTTTAATCCTGGAGGCTGAGGCAGGCAGATCTCTGTAAGTTAAAAGCTAGCCTGGTCTACAAAGCAAGTTCTAGAACAATCAGCACTGTTACACAGAGAAACTCTGTCTCAATAAACAAACAAACAAATAAATAAATAAATAAATAAAAAACTTTTATGGCGGTTTCTAGTTAAAAGTGTCTCATGTATGTTTTGAACTTGTTCATATTCACAATCTTAAAAGACAAATATCACCATCTATTTTGCGGGTGGGAAACTGGTATTCAGAGACTACACAGGTGGCAAAGTGATCTGATCTTGAGACAGGGTCTCAAGTACCCCAGGCTGGCCTCAGCATAGCTGTGTTGCCAAGGATGACCTTGAACTCCTGACTCTCCTGTTTCTGCCTCCTGAATGCCAGGGCTACGAGAGTACACCACCACTCCCTTGACTGGGCTGTCTGGAGCCTCACATTTCAGATCCCTCTTACAGACACAGCTGTACTGCATGAGCCAGGAAGAAGTGCTCAGATAATCTGGCCGGGTTGTCTATTGAACACTTTTCCCTTTAGACATACACCAATTAGAATGGAGCTGGCCATCAGCTGGCTGTGCTCTGGGCCATGCATTTCCTTAAGAGCTTTTTCTCATTGCAAGAGAGACAAGTTTCCATGCACTATTTCCTTTTTAAAACGACGTTAAGATGTTCTTCCACGAACACATGAGTATTTAACATAATTAAATTATCAAACTTTCTTTAGATGTGTGATATTTGGTGGCACATGCTTAGAACCCAGAATTCTAGATGCAAAAGTAGAAGGATCAGGAATTCAAGGGCAGCCTTTCCTACATAGTTTAAGGCTAGTTACATGAGACACTGCCTCAAGAAAACCTTAAATTCCCTTAGTAGAGGGCCTGTATTTTTAAAATCCAGTTGCTTACTAGAGGGGAAAAAGAGAAAGAATATAAACAAACAAACAGACAAACAGAATCAGCTCTTAGAACGTAAGAACTCACTTTTCTTTTTTGAAATGTATGTGGGTATGTTCATGTGTGTGCAGGAACACGTATGTGTAAGGGGGCATGTGTGTGAACAGGGGTACGTAAAGGATATGGGACAACTTTGAGTGCTATCTTCAGGAACCATTCACCTTTTTAAAGACAGGGCCTCTGGCTGACCTCTCACTAACAAACCTCGGGGACCCACTTGTCTCCACCTCCTCCGTGTGGGGACCACAAGGATGCGTCACTAAGGTTTATTTAAAATGTGGGTTCTAGAGGTTGAACTCAGGTCCTTTAGAAGAAAGTACTAATTAAGTCCTCCCCCAAGCCAAATTCTTCATTTTTTTAAATAAATTACACTGAATACTAGCTTGGATATTTGTAAAATATTTTTGAATGAGCCCTTTCTTTACTCTGAAGGGAGACATGAACTTATTTATCCAATTTGTGGACTACAGAAACAGAGGAAAACATAGTGTTTGTGACTGAAAAAATTGACAATTTTGTATGTAAAATGTTCTTAGGGATAAATTAAAAGCTTTTGGCAAAGTAAACCCATGAACTAATGGTGCCACATTTCATGGGTCAACTTCATTGCATAAAAGGGCAATGTGGAGCTCGAGGAATTTTTATGTAAATTCTTAGTTTTCATAACTTTAAAGAAAATTATGCTGAAATACCATTTCTAGCATACTAATGTATAATCTCTACTTAAAAATTAATAATACTAGATATTTATATTGATACATTTATTTGTAAGTCTACCCCTGAGTGCACCAAACATAAAGTTGAAAAAGAAAAGGAAAAAAAAAACTGATTGATTAGTTTGGGCATAAATGCTAGAAAGATAAAATGATTTAATTGGAGTTGAAATATATCCTGATTTTGATGACTGTAAAATAACTAGATTTCCCAGTGTTTCTATTTCAACATGCCTTTACTTTGAACAATTAGGTCATTTGAAAAGAGACATGTTCTGACTCCTGTCCTTCTGAACAGTGGTGATACAGCTCTCTGGGCTCCATCTGGGTGCAGATGGGATGTAGTTATAGCTGGTAATGGAGGTCAATGACAGGAAGCTGCCAGGAAGTAAGAAAGCATTTAAGGCACTATTCTTGTCTACATGGAGAGTTCCAGGGCAGCCAGAGATACACACAAGACCTTATTTGTGGGCGGGGACGGGGGACAGTTTAACATGCTTGAAAGGTCAATAAGCACAACATAGTATTCCATACCATAGATTTGCTTGCTATTCTATGAGAAGAATGGATTTGGGGTAAAGCGGAGGGCAGAAGTGGG